AAAAAAAAAATCCCTCTAGAAGAGGAAGAAAATCCAGAGAAGATGAGGCACACTTGCAGATCTTCTTGCTGTTGCAAGATTTCTCAGACAAGTTTGTTCCACTCACCCAGGCAGGAGCTAGGAGCAAAAAGCTGGAGGCAAAAGAAAGAAGGGGGCTGAGGACGTGGACAGAAAACTGGGTGAGCAGACAGAAAACAAATCTGTCAGAAGAGACGTGGGTCCACCCAGAGGCAGAAAGTGAGTGGAATAGGCAAGAGCAGGAGACGGGAGCACAGATCTGAGGACCACAAAGGGCTGTGGAGCTTTTACCTGCAGATGGATCCCCACGGCCCTCAGAGTGCCTCTCCCTGGAGCACATCCCAGCAGATCAGTCCCCTGAGGAGCTAATTCTCAACAGAGGGAGGAAAGTGGAGGAAGATGGGGAAAGGAGAAGCAGGGAGAAAGTGGCTTCCCCTTCATTGTGCCTAACCCTAAGCTCCCTGCTGTTGGTCCTGGGTCTGGCGGGTCCTCCTCCTCACACCCAAGCACAAAGGAGAAAGAACATGTGGAGGAGGATGGTGTGTACAGAGTCCTTCTGCGAAGCACCAAGTGAGCTGGGCTCAGAAACCCTGTGCTCTAACTCCTTGGCTGGTTTCTCTAGGTGGGATTGTCAACCCTTGCCCCAAGGGCTGCAAAGCCTTTCCTGCTCTCAGAATTAGCTGTTAGCATTCTTCCCATTACTGGAAAACAACTTTTCGCCCAATCCTGGAGATGGAACACGGGGCCTTGTGGATTCTGGTTGGCTTCTCCCACTGGACTGTACCCACAACACTCCCAGCCCTGGCAAGCCTTTGTAAACCCTTTTGTAAAATAGTGTTAATCCCTAAAGAAAATAACTATTGAAATAACAACTAGGCTGATTCTGGAAGAACTCTCAGCCCAGCATAGGGCTTTGACTTACCATCCAGCTGCAGAGCGAAGCAGTAATCTCTGAGTGTCAGAAATGGAGAATACTCTTTGGATCTCAGCCGGAAAAGACGGCACTCACAAGAGCAGATGACAGACAGAGGCAACCTGAGAGGATGCCCAGTGAATCGAGACTAGAGAAACAGGGCAGGTCCTTTCTTTTCTTTTCTTTTTTTTTTTTTCTTCATTTTTTTTATTATTTTATTTTATTTTACAATACTATTCAGTTCTACATAACAACCACAGATTCCCTTGTTCTCCCCCTTCCTGGCCCCCTCCCCTTCCCCCCAGCCCATCCCCCATTCCCACCTCCTCCAGAGCAAGGCCTGAGATCGACCTGATAGACTCAGTCCAGGCAGCAGGGCAGGTCCTTTCAATGATGTCACTTAAATAAGAAAAACATGGCCATAGCTTGGAACCCAGTTAGATAATCAAGAAATATCTTCCTATTCAAGGTAGTCTGTTGTCTGTTTGGCTAACTTTCCTCTTGGGTGTGAAAGTGTAAGAAAGAGTCCAAAGAGGAGGCTAGGGAGAGGGCTCTGCAGTTAAGAGTGCTCGCTGCTCCTAAGGAGGTCTGGAGTTCTTTTCCCAGAACCCACATGACCAACTCATGGCCAGTCTGTTCCAAGGGATCCAACACACCTTCCTCAGGCAGTGCATACACATTATACACAGGCATACATGCAGGCAAAACACCCAAACATATAAAATTTAAAAATTTCTTTAAAAAAAAAATTACAAGTGGGGGCTGGAGAGATGGCTCAGAGGTTAAGAGCACTGCTTGCTCTTCCAAAGAGATGGTGGCTCACAACCATCTGTAATGAGATCTGGCGCTCTCTTCTGGCCTGCAAGGATACATCATGCAGAACACTGTATACATAATAAATAAATAAATCTTTAAAAAAAATCACAAGTGAGTCTTGATAAGCACACTGTAGCATGCACGCATGTGCACACACACGGGCATACACACACACACACACACACACACACACACACACACGATTAATTAATTATCAATGAATTTTTAAAGTGTGGGAACCAGAAAGGTGCATCAAAAATTAATAGCATAAACTTCTCTTCCAAAGAACTCATTATATTCCTGGCCCCCCATCAGATGACTCACAATCACCTGTAATTCTAACTCTAGGGGATCCAACACCTTCTTCTGATTTCTACAGACAATTCACTCATGCTGGAGAGACGGCTCGGGAGTTAAGAGCACTGGCTACTCTTCCAAAGGACCCAAGTTTAACTCCCAATACCTACACACAGACACATAATTAAAAATAAAACCTTTTAAAAATAATTCTTCTACATGATAATGTTCAGTTGTGCCTGTACAAAGCACATTTTGACACAACACCTGGATTGTGATATCATAATGCTCACTTGTGTCTTCCCAGTGCTCCCTGTCTCACCACAGTGCTCCCTGTCTCACCACACAGTGCTCTCTGTCTCACCACAGTGCTCCAGTGTGTCATCACTACACTTCATGGTCTGGTCATAATGTGACTACACAATGCTCCCTGTGGCATCACAGTGATGTTTACAATGCTACATTTTGGCATCATATGTTCCAGGAGAACTAATGCCCATTTCTGGCCCCCAAGAGTACCTGCACTCACATACACGTGCCTGCACAAAGATATGCACATAATTAAAAATAAGAAGAAAGAACCCCACTTTTGTAAACTTTTTTTGTTTGTTTTGTTTTTTGTGTTTGTTTGTTTGTTTGAGACAGAGTTTCTCTGTGCAGCTTTGTGCCTTTCCTTGAACGCACAGAGATCCGCCTGTCTCTGCCTCCCGAGTGCTAGGATTAAAAGCATGAGCCGCAGCCGCGGCCACCACCACCACCACCACCCGGCAAACTTTTTATTTTTTTAGACAGTATCTCACTATGCTGCCTTAGACAGGCCTTGAATTCACAGAGATCTGCCTACCTCTATTTTCCAAATACTTGGACTAAAGGTGTGTGCTGAAAAAGCCTTTTAATATGTTTGAAATTGGAAAGATGTCTCAGTGGGTAAGAGCACTTGCTCTCTCAGAGGATCAAGTTCAGTTCCCAGCTCCCATGCCAACAGCTCTCGACCACCTGTTATGTCAGCCCCAGGGGACTAGTGCCCTCTCCTGGCCTCCACAGACATGCACACACACGCACACACACATACATACACACACACACACACACACACACACACACAAACACACACGAGTATGATCAACGGCGTGGTTAAAAAGAACTGTAATTATTCTATCGCATCTAATATTTTGTATAAGTTAACTCACAAGCAAAACAGGACTTTTAAGCCTCTATAAATCTTAATTTAGAGTAGTCACTTTGCTTTTTAGTTTTAGTTTTTATGACAATATTTTTTCTAAGAATCTGGATTAATATTAACATTCTAGGAACAAAAGGTTATACTGTGTTCAGCACATTTTCAAATAACGTAGAAGAATATGAAAAAGAGAGAAAGCACAAACAAAATGGTGTTTGAATGTTTGTGGTATTATTGTATTATATTTGCAAATTTGAAATAAGAGTTTAAACAAAAGTATAATGATAATAAACACTTTTGAATATTTAAGAATTTCAAGCTGGACATGGTGGTTCACAACTGTAATTCTAGTACTGGGAGACTGAGATAGAGATTTCTCTGAGCTTGAGGCTAGCCTGGACTACAGAGTAAGAGATCGTCTCTTTTAAAAATCCAAATAACTTAGGTATTAGTTTGCCCTCTGTCTTAGATAGGCCTTCTATTGCTGTGATAAACCATGACCAAAAGCAACTTAGGGAGGAAAGGGTTTATTTCTTCTTACATCTCTCAGGTTATACTCCATCCCTGAGGGAAGTCAGAGCAGAAACTCAAACAGGACCCTGGAGGCAGGAACTGAAGAAGAGGCCATAGAGAAATGCTGTTAGTGTCTTACTCCCCATAGCTTACTCAGCCTGCTTTCTTACACAACCCAGGACCTCCTGCCCAGGTGTGGCAGCATCCACAGTGTTCTGGGCCCTCCCCAATCAACCACTAATTAAAAAAATGTCCCCCAGATTTGCATACATGCCAATTTCATGGAGTCATTTTCTCAATTATCATTTTCTCTTCTCAGATAACTCTAGTTTGTGTCAAGTTACCAAAAAAAAAATCTAGCTAGCAACTGAGAAGAATATCCAATGTTGACTTCTGGCCTCTGCCTCAGAGTGGGAGAACGCAAGTGTGGGATGTGTGTCAAATTTCTAGTATAAGTGAGGAAAGGAGTATAAACCGTAGGCCAGCTTGGCCAACAGTACCTCAGCCAAGAGACCAAGGTCAGCATCAACACTGGTAAAGGTGAGGTTCATACCTTTAATAGGATATAATGAAAACATCATCCCTGTGCCTTTCTTCCCATAGCTTCATGAGTAAAATGTCTCACAGACTCCAGTGGAAGCACATCCCTCAAAGTACCTGAGCAGCATCCCTCAAGGCTGTCAAGGTCACCAAAATTAGACAATCTGAGAAACTACAGAAACATGACAACTAATGGAATACGCTATCTTGGGTGGGGTCTTGGACATTAAGTAAGAACCGGAGAGATGGCTCAGTGGTTAAGAGCACTGGCTGCTCTTCTGGAGGACCTGAGTTTGATTCCCAACACTCACATGGTAGGTCACAACTGTCTGTAACTCCAGTCCCAGA